ACTTCACACACACATGGTACATCATGTCACAAATAGATATGTGCCTTTGTTTCATGATCTGCTTAACAATAGCGGAATGATGGCCATTTTAAGGCCGAAAATGCATCAAAATCACGTATTTTCACAATTCCAGAACCGGATCTCAGTCATGCATGGACGGATTTTGTTCAGATTTAGCACAATGTGTTGTACATATGCAGGTGCATTTCGGTCATGATCTGCTTTGAATGTATATGTCACTCAAATATGAACGGAACGGGGACGTGTCATTGACAATGACTTGTTTAATATATTCTTTATTGTAGTTGGGCTTTATTCTGTGTGTCCCCTACAAATTAAAAAGAACTTTCAGTACAATACACCTATGGTTTCGTTTCATTAAATTTTTCATTTCAGAGAATAATTTTCCTCCTGTCGCTGATGCTGGTCCAGACAAAGAAATCAGTTTACCTAATGATGACACTACATTAGATGGAAGTAAAAGTCATGATGATAACGGAATTACATCGTATAAATGGAAGAAGATTAGGTATGTATCCAGTATATATTATATAACATACATTAGTATATCATTTCCCAGAATACTGTGAATAAATTCATATGATACTTTAATCATTATCACATGCATAACATATGTTTCTCCAGTGTGTGACATAATACAGAATGGAGAAATAATACATATCACTTACTGCCAACATTTTTAGCTCCGCTGTTAACTTTGTCGAGCGTCCATCGTCCAAGTCAACTTTTTACTTTTCGACTTCTTCTTGAAAACTACAAGCCTGAATGCTTTGATACTTGGTGTATATGTACCTTGGGTAGACCTCTCTTAGATTTCTTCATTTCATGATGATATCTTCAATTCTCTAATTTTGGTGAATATTTTTGGTAAAAAGTGATATTTTTGACTTCTTGTTAAAAATCGCAAGTCTGATTGCTTTGATATTACATATATAGGTACGACATGTGGACCTCTCTCAGATTTGTTCATTTCATGATGATATCTTTAATTCTCTAATTTTGATGAATATTTTTGTTATTTTTGATAAAAAGTGATATTTTTGACTTCTTGTTAAAAATCGCAGGTCTGATTGCTTTGATATTACATATATATGTACGACATGTGGACCTCTCTCAGATTTGTTCATTTCATGATAATATCTTTAATTCTCTAATTTTAATGAATATTTTTGTCTTTTTTAGTAAAAATTGATATTTTCGACTTCTTGTTAAAAACCGCAAGTCTGATTGCTCTGATAATGATATCTTCAGTTCTTTAATTGAAATGGGCATTTCTAAGAGCGGAGCTATCTCAGCCGACAGGCTGCTTGTTTCCAATTTACATGCTGCATGTGCCACAAGGTTGTCAGGAGCTTCTGGCTTTATATATAGTCTGATATTACTACAAATTATTGTTAAAATGATTCATGTTGGCAAGTTCAAATATTTCACACAATTCTTTCTTTCTTTATTTGCCGAAGTACATTATTAATTTATAAATACTAAACAAAATAAAAAATACAAGGAAAATAAATACACTTTATACAATTCAAGTGGGGATAAAATGTAAGTGGAAAATGACAGGAAAGTAGAAATTATCACAAGTGATGCTAATCAAGTCTACTACTACCCGATATAGAAATTAATAATATACAGTGCAACTAACAATATATATGATTAATAATTAAATAAATAATAAATAAACAAACAAACAAACAAAACAAAAAATAAATAACAACACTCAACTAATTAATCAATTAGTCGATCAACAAGTTAATGTTATCAATAAAGAGCAGATACAGTATTAATTTAATGTCATTATATGTGGCTTCAGTTTTCTTTTAAACATAGAACGACTTTTTATCATTTTTAGATGCATATTCCCAGAGCGTAACTTGAACCCCATTTATTGCACACTACTAATGTCACACAATTGGATATGCTTTCAGTGGCCCTGGGGATGTGATTATTAAAGATAGTGACACAATAGTAGCTACAGTATCCAACTTAGTAGAAGGAACGTATGTATTTGAGTTGACAGTTACTGATGGAGAAGGATCAACAAATTCAGATCAAGTCACTGTTATTGTGAAACAAGGTAATATTAGTTTTCTTTTGTCTTCACAGAGTTTAATATCATGTGTCGTCAAATGTTAATTTAACCATGTCATTGAGAATGACTCATTATCTATTTTGTCATCTATTTGATTGTGCAACCTCTCACCAAACAGAATAAATTTAGCATAGTTTTAAAAACAGAAAATTGCTTTGATTCAAAAGTTTGTGTATGATTGAACACATTTGACAATGGAGATAATAATAAAGTTTTGACCTTGACTGTGTTCCCACAGACCCTCGTAATTTTAATATCATAAATTCTGGTGGTATTTAACTAATATTGTAATAAAAAGTGTGTTTTTTGTGACCATTCCTATTTCTTCATTGTAAAAGTGTTGCTGAAATCAATAACAATGCAACTAATTTTGTATTTTTATTTTCCCAAAAGGGTCGACATACTCTCCTCAATCTGGCACATCGTGAACTAAAATTGTTATTTACTTTCTCTAGGGGAAGGAGGGTGTTCGGCTCAGTGTCCATCTCCTAAAACTCGTAATATTTGGGTCCAAGTACCCTGGGTACTATTAAAAATGTACCAGTGCATGTGATTAATAGTAGATGTGTCCTTAAATATAGTGTTGAACAGTCAGTGAAACAGTGAATTTATAATTATGTTTTTTTTTCATACATTGAGATAAATTCATGCAAACGCTACACTATTATATGTACTGTATTTTCAGAAATTGATCAACCTCCTGTGGCAGATGCTGGTGAGGACATGGTTATAGAATTACCACAGAAGTATGTAGCAATAGATGGCAGTAAATCTCACGATGACTTCTCTATAACATCGTATCAGTGGTTGAGAGATCCTAAAAGTCCAGCTGCAGGGGTAAGTTGTCTTTCCAAACAATGCCTAAACATGCATTCATTCAAGTTTGCATCCACCATCACCCTCCTTCACTCCCCTGTTGTATTGTATGCAGAACACCTTTCACTCATGATTCTGATAATGATAAAATCAGTTGGCTTGGCAACAAATCTTGAAATGTTATGCCTGGAAGTTAGCCTGCACTGAAGTTTGTAGTGTTTTGTAACTATAGTGAACTTACAGCTGATCTCTCCAAAGACGGTGTTATGCCTAATAAATATAATATACATGGTGTTGTATTGAGAAAAAAAAATCACCAAATCAAACGTGTAATCACTCAAGACCTTCTTACTTTTAAATTATTGTCTTTTGGAAAAGACATCAAAATTTGATTTCAAGATTCTGTTAGATATTATTTCAAGATTCTGGTAGATACGATTTTTCGTGAACTGTACAAAATCCAAAGTCCATATTGATGCTTATAGAAATCAGTGAGAGGTTTTCTGCAGAATTTACAAAGTGGGAATGACCTTTATAACTGCCCAAGAGAGTAATTACAGAACAATAATATATCACTGTTACATCACAATGTACTGTATTTGCTCTCTTAGGGACGTCGTCAAAAGATCGATGTCGGATAAAAAACTTGTTTGCTTCAGTTTGGGAGTGGGTGGGTGTGTTTTGACCTCAAAAAGTTTCCATTCTACAAAAACGATTTTATTTCTTAATGAAGTCAAACAAATCTTGTACTATTTGCAGTTCGTTTTTTTTTTCTATCCCAGCATTGACAGAAATAACAGAAAATGAAAAAAACAAACATCCAAGACGAGAAAATGTTTTGGTCCGAGTGTAAATATGTGCATTTGTAAAGTCTTTTACACCCGCCTGACAACCAACTGCTATATGGCAATATTGTCCGATTATCAATTTGTATTTAATGGTGAATGTAGTCTGATGCCATGAGCAATATTTATCAATTAAGTTTCAGTGGGGGGTAGGGTGGTTTTTGGGAAAAACCAAAGGATTTAAGTTTTTTATCCTACATTGAATTTTTTAGGTACATCACTTATAAATAGAAGTAGACTTTAACCAAAAATTCCATTTATTGTAAGCCGGATCATTAAAATATTCAAACCATAGAATATACATCATCATTTACATAAAAACATGCAACACATAGAGCTAATTTCAATTAATTTTTTTTTTATAAATGTGTCTACAGGAAAAAACTGCAACCCACCATGTTTTGGTACAGCTGTTATAAGTATGTCACTGTACCTAAATACAGATATTATGTAACAGCTGCTTCGACTGATTGTTACAATATATAGAAAATGATAGTTACTAATCATATGAATATGATGTTTACTACTGTGTTTTGTATGGAGTTTATTTTCAATCATTTTTTGATGAGTTTAATGTAAAATATAGGAAAAAATGCTATACTTGCTGGATTCCATTTTCTCTGAATCATCTCTTCACCAAAAATAATAAAAAATAATTTCCAAGCAAAAATGAAGTATTTTACAGTAATTACCACTTTCTTTATAAATACAAGAGCATCATTTTCATACAGTGAAACTTTTATCATTACGATTTGCAAATGTTTATATGTATACAAATCTGTCTTTGTCCAAAAAGTCTCTCAGTAAAAATTGGGGGTCTGGGAAGCTGATTGAGTTTGTAGTAAGCACAAACAATCCTTAGAGAAAAAATAATTACATACAAGACATGGTATGTATTTTCACATCCCTGGCCTGCGACTTGTGTGAAAAAAAAAATCTCTAAACTTTCTGAGAAATCTCATCTCTTATGGTACAAATGTGGACAGTGATTTTATGATGACAAGGTTGTCCAAAAAACCCGGAACTGGAACCTGAATCAGAACATAAAATTAAAAATATTTGGAAGCAACAAGGATGTCACATGACTTAAGTTAAGTGTAACACATCTAGTGCGCCCTCAAGCGGAAACATCGTCGTAAACATGTGCTTTCTGCCTATTATTTCATCCACATTATTAGATTGAGTGTACACACAACTACAAATTGCGATTATAATAAATAATATTAATAATATACAAACTAAGTCCATTAATGCAATATCACTTATATTATATAACAACCCGTTTGTCGAAATATTTTTAATTTCACGTTCCGGGTTTTTTAGACAACCGATGACAATGTGTTACAAATCTGTTTATAATATTCTGTTGTGCACAACAATATCGCCCACCTACATTTTGATCCTAAATTTCACCTGTTTTTGTATTTTTCTATAATTTTATTTATTATTTTGGACCAAATGGATGCAATTTCCTACTGGCTGCAAGGTTTGATCAAAATTCCTATAAAAAGAAATATCGCAATATGTGGGTTATATTTTGAATGAATGATGACGAAAGTTTACTCAAAGGTCAAAGGTCAACAATAAACATTGAATATACAGTTTTCATCATAAATTAACACTTGATGTGTTCTGTTATGCAGGAAATTATGAGGGATTCCAATCATGAAGCCATTTTAAGACTAACCAATCTGGTAGTTGGGATGTATAAATTCTCGTTGCGAGTTACTGATGCCAAAGGTCAGCATGCTACTGATTACATGACACTAGAAGTGAAAGAAGGTAAGATCAAAGTTCAGTGCATGTTCCTAGATGTCAAAGGCTGATGGCAAAGGTCAATATGCTATTAATCTTGTTCAGGTTGCACCAAATACGTGTTAAGATTTAAAGGGCGGTAGTCGTCGCGCCACGCATACGAGATATATGGGTCTTATATAAACAAGTGCAGATTGTAGACTAACAGAAACTAGTCTGATTCTATCTATTTTATCTCAAAAACAATGTTTCTGAATGTGCTTGCATCAAATGCTATATCAAAAATAGCATACCGAAATGAATATAATATAAGGTTATTACGAGGATACCTCAAAGTATGCACAAAGACAGTACAACTGGAGTATCTACCGAAGCACAGCATACTTTGAGTGCATACTTTAAGGTATCCTCGTAATAACCTTATTATTATACATCTTCTCCTTCCAAGGATACATCATGGGAATGCCGAAAACCAAAATGTTTAGAACAAAATCAGCGAACATTTTGAGTACGGTCAAACTCTGGTGGCAGCCATGTTTGTTTTTATTATTAGAGGATGCTTGCGTGCATAATCATTCCACATTTGGAATTTGCATTTCCTAAAATAGTAGGAGGAGAATACCCCGTAAAATACCACAAAATTACGGCACGCTGTAACCTATGGCGTTACGGTGACAGATGTACATGTATAATAATAGTAAATCTTCCAAATGGACATTGAATACAATGGCATTTTGGGTGCTTATTCCTGGCTAAGTGTTCACACATTCTTCAATAGTGTATGCTAAGAGTCAAGACCAGGTCTTTAAAATGTGTCAGATTCACCTTGTACTTACCATTTCTTACTTTAT